ATAGAATTTGGAGGAACCGAGTTCAACCACAATGCAACTTTATCTTCTAGGGATAGAGGAAAAAGACCCAAGTTGGTGAAAAAAATCCTCTCCAGTTACTTTTTCACTGAACATCTAGTAAACATCTAACAATGGTGATTAATGTCACATTTCCAACATAGTTTTGTCATCGCCAAGCCAATAAGTTAAGAAATTTACTCATTACACGAGTTATTTAACTTTCTTGATGAAAAATGGTGAAGATATGCTTCCGACATGTTAAACTTGATCTTGTATGTTTCATTTGTCAATGGAAGGTTAATTGTAAGTGACTATGCTCCTAACTCGTAAATAAAAATTCGTACTTCTGCTATGTTAGAGTCATTGCTGAAAATTCATGTCTTTGGTGCTCCATTAATCCCTTAGCATGCACACTATATTTAACATATGCAACTAGAGCTTTAGGACTATTAGTATGCCATGTGTTTGATGAATTGTGAATGTGAAGTCATATTGTTGGAATTAGTATTGTGAAGAATGCATAATAAAATGCTTTGGCTATGTAATGACCCTCTGGTTGAAATATTTAATGGAAATATCATGATCATTTTATCACACATGCATGGTATGGGTGTGGGTGCGTGTGTGATGGTTTGGGCGGGAAATGAATTTTTTCAAAGTTTATGGAGGGATGATTTGCGAAAATCGGGCAACATGGAGTTGCCATGTGTCCAGGGTGTCAATTCAACCTAGAGGGATAGCAGGGAAACTGCCTTGTATCTGGTTGAGCTACCTAAGCTCCCAAATGGTGTTCGGGAATTGCCTTAGGCCAGGGATAGTTAGTCAATCTTTCCTCGTAGTCGCAGAGAGTTACCTCGGGCCGAGTTGTTTTGACGGTTTTGGTGTAGGTTGAGTTGTGTAGGGGATGGGCATGTGTGGGTGCGTTCATGGCTCAAACATTCACATAGTGCATATATAATATATATGTATGTATGTATGTATATATATTTTTACATGATGATGTCATACTTTGTCTTTCCTTAGCAAGACCCCTTTTCCTTCCTGACCTTTACGTGCTTACTCACTTAACTCTAGGAGTTGTGTGTTAGGCACTTCCGACCTAATGAGGAAGTGGTCGGTCACCCTTTATTTAACAATTTCAGGAAAAAAACTGATTGTGGAGGAGCTTGTGTTGCAAATCTATTTTGCTATTAGGAGATTATTTTGGACATTTTTTTTAGTATGGATCTATGTATATTGAGATGTTTACTGTAATTGATATGGTCTTCGGAGATTTTTTATATAAGTGAGATTGTAATTGTTATGTTATGAATTTTCGGGTCGTTATATGCTGCCTTGAATACTTCCGTATTAGTAAACCGTTTAATTTGAAGGCATGTGTGTGTGTATTAATCAATTGCCCTGAAATTTAAACAAATTAACACTTGTTCCATGAGAAAATATAGAAGAGAAAAAAAATAAGGTTGTATGGAGTGCAATATTTATTATAAATTTGCTGGGATTTTTTGATTGCTTCAAGATTATACGTCACAAAAAGGAGCCATATATTGCTCGAGTTTTTAAAATTTGAGTCAACTGTATATACGAGCAATATTGTATTGGCGTCCATTCAAGAATAATGGCTAATTATTTCAGGTGATTCTAAGCATGGGACCTGAATCATATATGTAAATGCACGTCTATACAAGTGTTTATATATGAGTATGTGTATATATGTTAATTTTATATAAGTGTGTACGTCTATACAAGTGTACGTGCTTGTATATCATTATACATGTGCATATAATTTTATATACACATACATGTATACATATGTAATTACACTATTTAATAAATTTTAATTCAATTCTAAATTAATGACCAAACAATAAATTTAGAATTGAATTGAAATTCAATTACATTTGAATTCTAAAATTTATCCAAATAGTGAATTAGGAATCGGATTTGTGGGATTACAATACTATGAAATTGTAATCCCAATTCAATTTCAATTCGGTGCAACTAAACATAACTTAAGTGAATTTATTGTAATCCCAATTCAATTTCAATTCGGTGCAACCAAACATAACTTAAGTGAATTTATGCCACTTGACCTTAATTATAAAGTATTTGTATTGAAATTTGTATATCACAAATACTTGAGCACACTTAATTTTGCTACAAAGGCCTTATCATTGTGCTACAAGTGAACTACATAGTGTTGAATTGATTTTTTATCGACCATGCTTTACTCTTTTGTTTGTAGGCTCAGCTCAAGCTTGGCTTGTGAACATCACAAGCTCAAAAAACTGAAATGAGACTACTCTTTTTATAATTGTATAAGGCTCAAGCTCAAATCCGCTCGACTCATTTTATTAAATGAGTTGAACTCAATCTCATGTTTTGTGTTCGAACTTAGTTTAAATTTGTGTTCATCATTGCTTTGCTTATTTAATGACATAACATTTGCAATAACAAATTACATGTCAGTAACATGTAAATCACTGACATGTAAATCACTATATTTTACACTTCTCATGAGTGAAGAGATGAAGTGTCTACAATTCATATAAAATATTCTCCACTAATGTCCATTTGTGTTTACCATACCTATTCACAGAACAAAAACATTCCCAGTGGTAACGACAAAGTTTATGCTATTAGGTGGCGTTAACACCCAATTTATATATATCTAATCACTTCTCCATCTAGATCCTCCTTATAACATTTTCTTCCACCCAAACTCGTAACCCCCTCATTGCGGTCGAGTCACCCTACCTGCTCAGTGGAAGGCACCCGGACACATCTGGGCCAGGCACTTGACGTGATATTAGATCAAGGACTAGTCTAGCTCTAATACCAACTATAACACCCAGATACTTCATGGCCTAACTCAAAAGCTTAAGTTGTTGGGTGATACTAATACCTAACCCACATATATATCTAATCATTTTCCCAATCGGATCTCACGTGGGACAAGATCATCTTATAACACCATTATTAACACCTAAAATATAATCCGAAGTAATTATGCCATGTGGTCAGAAATCACGAGGTCTGAATTTTGGGCCAACCTATGATCATCGGGGCGAAAGATTTATTTCTAATCATGGTGATCAAATTTAAGTTCGGGAATTAAGAAGAATGGAATTCTTAGGCCATTAAGACTGAGATGAGGTTTTAAGCTCATAACCGGCCATGATTAAGACTCTCAAAGTCACTATAGCCATGATCCAAAGTCTCATAACCAATCATGGTCAAGACTCTCAGAGTCACTATGGCCATGAGATTTGTCAAGATTCTCTCAGTCACTTTGGCCATGATCCAAAGTCTCATAACCAATCATGGTCAAGATTCTCTCAGTCACTATGGCCATGATTAAGACTCTCAGAGTCACTATGGCCATGATTAAGACTCTCAATGGTCATGATCCAAAGTCTCATAACCAATCATGACCAAGACTCTCTCAGTCATTAGGCCATGACCGAGACTCTTAGTCTCAATGGTCATGATCATGAGTCTCAACCAAGACTCTCAGTCATTAGGCAATGACCAAGACTCTCAGTCTCTATGGTCATGATCAGGAGTCTCGGACATTTATCTCTTAGTCATTATAACCTAAGGAAGTTTCTCAACCAACCGGGGTCGAAAGTCTCTACTAATAATCGAGAGTATACCTAATTGATGGACAAGCTCAGAATAAGATGAATTTGATATCTCTTCGGGTCATAATCGCTTGAAGAATCTTTGGTATAATTCAAATGAAGACCGACTGTGAATCCCAATGTTTCAAGAATCCAACAAGTCAGGTCTAGAAATGTAAAGAAAGCTTGAAATAGAAAATGACAACTTGACCATGTCAGAGGTCCAGAGAGTCAGAACTATAGATGAAAGGGTCTCACATACATTTGATAAAGAAAGTCAGAATTGTCAGTAATTAGAGGATTCCAAGCCAATGTACAGATCAAGCCAAGCATGACAGGTGCATAAAGCTAAAAATGGCTTGAAGACCAAAATCATCAAGCATGAAAGAATATGCACCATTTAGTCAAAAATACTATGTCAAACACATTTGTATCTGCCCATAGAGAGATGTGCGAGTCAGTCAACCTGACCAGCTCAGCAAGATGGTTAGGAGAAGTCATTTTCAGCTTACAACCAATTAATTTCTAGAGAAACGGTTTGAAAGGGACAACACCAGGTGGAGGCTTCTATAAATACCCACTCAAGTCTCACAAGGAGGAGGTCCAGCACCATTTCTAAAGTTCAACCTTAGCATTCATATCACTTAGCACTTAGTTTTTATTTGCTCAAATTCAGTTTATCACTATCAGTTTAGTACTTAGTTTATCTTCAGCATTCAATACTTTAGTTTTCATTTCAATCAAGAGTTTGTAATTCATTCATCATTGTAATTAGTCAAGTTCAATGAAGAAAGGTTTGCAGATTCAGGAATATTTATTGTTCAATTAATTTGCTTCTAATTGATATTTATCTTGAATGTTTAAAGTCCTTTCTTAAAGGCAATAGCAACGGGGTCATTCCTACTCTCCAACTTTCGCCTGAATCACACAGTAGGTCGGCGACCCAACCTAATAGGGAAAGTTTGGCAAGAAATATTCGAATCCATCAGGACTCTGGCACACCCTCATTTTAGGTTAGCTATTTATTGGTTAGCGACCTCAGACCACTTTGTGAGCCAAACAACCAATCTAGAAGCATCCTTCATGAATGGGATCCGCCCCTTTCATGAATTCATCCTCCCTCAAGTCCTAATCACTTGAATTCGGTGCCTTTTTTTTTTTTTTCACCTAATTTTAATTAAGTAGAGGTTCATCACGGCTATTTGGCTAATGCCTTGGGCTTGTGGCTTGCTTGTGGTCCAATAATTGTGTTGGACCTTTTCTTTTCTTTGGGCCTTGTTCATGTCAAACCCACTTATGCACCTCTTCGCTATATATATATATATTTGCTTGACCATTTGAAGAAAAAAAAACAAAGAAAAAATATTCAAAAGCAACTATCAAAAATAAATTTTATTAATTTATTTGCTTAAAATAATCACCAAATGAGAACAGTTGTTCCATTTGATATATATATAATGTGAAACACGGTTGGACTAATGCCATTAGTTTTTTAGCATTCCAAAAATAATTATCAAATATAGCCTCTATTAATTTCTTCACATAAAATGATCACCCAAATGAGAACATTTGTTCCATTTGGAATATAATGTGAAAAATGATTCAGGAGTTATGAATGAGAGCTGCATATAAGAGTTGATTCCAGGTATCCGGGACACCAGCCAGACACCAGTGGCTACAGTCCATATCGTTGTGCCCTCCATGGCCGTAGACAGAGGGGTGCCCATCTTTTCTCAGCTGCGAAAGGGCGGTTATGTCGAGTAGATACACCGGGTTGGACATGCCATGCAATACTTCCTCTAGCACCACTTCTGCTGGATGTGGACCTCCGGGATACTTTGGGCCGTGCAGCGGCTGCGTTTGCCCACCACAGTTCTTCGCATTGGGCTGACCCCAGTCACTTGCACTGATTTACAACAGGAAATAGTTCTCGATAAATATGTGTGTGTGTATATATATATATATATAATGATTCACTTATTAGGATCCATTTGATTAAATGGAAATAGCAAGAAGGTTCTATTTGTTTAAACATGAAGGTGTTTGGTTGTTGTAAAATATTTACGAAAAAAGAAAATATATTAAAATTTAATAAAAATATTTATTTATAAATTTTCGGTAAGTTATTTTACATGTCCCGCCTGATAGACTTGATTTCAACCTCAACGTAGACCTTTGTCAAACACCGATAAAGTAAAAATAAAAATGAAAAAATATTTTACCTGAAAAAGAAAATATTTTTTTAAAAATATATTTTACGTCAAAACAAAACAAACGGAGACACACGCGCGCGAATGCATGACTTACTTGGCATGGTCAGGGGAAACGCCTTGGAAGAAGACTTTGGTTTTTGCAGGATCTACCAAGGTGTCTACCAATTTGGCCCATGTTGTCAATGCTTTTTTATAGGCAATCAAGCGATTCATGTCTTTGTATGTTGCATTCCCTTCTTCAATCAAATCCCATCTGCAGCAGATACAAATATTGGAGTACCTTAATTACCTTATTTAGCAGTTGTAGAAAACGAAGTTAACAAAACATAATATGAATTAAGTGAAGATTTTTCTTACGGTTGTTTCCTTCCTATGTGAAGCCACCAGTGCCATGTATTGAAGATCAATGTATCAACTCCTTTCCACATTTTGCTGCTCTCCATTGAGCCAAGCTTCAGAACCCTTTCGCCATTTTCATTCACAATATCAACAAGAAATGCGTCGCGGTAAAACATGATTGAAACATTGTAAATCTACACATGTTTAATGCATCATGCAGTGAGCAAGTTAGCACACAATAATATATATATATATATATATATATATATAGTACTTGGTATTGAACTATTGATAATACAGAAGGCTAAAATCACAAAACGCCCCTATTATTTCCAAAAACGACAAATAGCCCCCTCAATTAACAAAAACCTCCCGAACTAATAAAAATTATCATGTTGCCCCTTTTTCGTAACAGAACCGTTAACTTATTGCAAATTGACAAAAATTCCTTTAGAGTATAATATTAATTTAAAATTTAAATGTAATTTTTTTAAATGACAATAATGTCCTTCATGGGGTTCACCACAAAAATCATATTTTCAATTAATAGATTTTTTTTCACACGTTTTCGTCCAAGTGTATATATATAAATAAATATATATATTGGAAAGCTAATCCCCATATTTTTGGGATATATATATACCCTTAAAATATAATTCTATGTGATTTATATAAGGGTTATTTGAGTCATTTAAATGATAGATTTTTTTTTATTTATTTAAATCTCTTGTCTCTACATCGTATAGCACTGTAATACCCCTAATTTTAAAAGAATAGTCTTGGTATTTATTTATTTGTTTTAATTACGTTTTTAATTGTTTAATTGATTATTTGACTAATTACTTATGTATTTGATTGAATTAAGTGTTAATTAATTGACAATTTGTCTAGGTGTTATTTGTATTATTTGTTTATTTGATTGTGTGCTTAAATGATGTGTTTGATTAACTGTAGATTAAATGATTAAATGTTTTATTTTATTTTATTTTATGGTTATTTTTAGTAATAATGGGCCAACCAATTAGGTCCCATAGACTACTTAGATAGGAGGTTTGATTGGTATGGATAATTACCCATAGATAGTTGTATATATATATACATATATAAAAGGAAAAGTAATTTATTAATTACTTTTATGGTAACTATAGTATTAATATTTAATCAGATGTACATATTTTATATATTTATATAATAAGGATATACATAGATTTTATACGTATCATGTTTTAAGTTACCTCTTAATATTATGGTAACTTAAGTGTTATTAAATAATCTGTTAATAAATAATCTGATGTATATATTTTATTTATTTATTAAGGATGTACATAGATTATATACATAGCATATTTTAAGTTACCTTTTCAATATTCTTATTTTTATTTTCTTTATTAAGTTGACTTGGATTGGGAAAAAGAATAGGGTTATTATTTAACCTATAAATATATAACTATAGGTTGAAAAGGGGGGTTAAAATATATCACATAATATATTTTAGAGAGAGAGTTAGAGAGAGAAGGAGGAAGAAGAAGGAAGGAGGAGAAGAATCTTTAGAAAAGAAGACCAAGGAAGAAGAAGTTTAACTTTCGATCCGAAAGTTTAAGGCAAGTTCTTCTTCTATCTCTCTCCCTTAAATTTGTGTTTCTATGCATGCCTAGGAGATTTCAGGATTCTTAAACACATAAAAATAAATAATTATGCATGTTTAATTGGATTAGAACACAAGTTTTATGAATTTGGTTCATATTTGTTTTTGTTGTATGAATTGTTAAATTCATAGATTTGATCTGTTGTCTTTATGAATTTTTATATGTTTTAAATGATGTAATTTTCATATCTGTGGATTGATGGAACATAGAAACATGCATAGTAATCCTTAAACAATAAAGATTGAGTTCACAGTAGAAATTCTGGACAGATTTGCATAACAGTGCTCGATCCGCTGTTACAGTGCTCGAGCCTTGGGGGCAAAGCTTGAGCCATGGATGAAAAGCTCGAGCCTAAAAAGAAAAGCTCGATCCATAGGTGAAAGCCTCGAGCCATGGACAGGAAGCTCGAGCCTGAAGCAAGAAGCTCGAGCCTGAAGCAGGAAGCTTGAGCAATTAGGATAAAAGCTAGAGCCTTACTGGGGAAGTTTCGTAAACAGTGTTGAATTAATTGATTTTGAGGGGTCCTAATCATTAAATAAGGACTAGATATGTGTTTAAACAAATTCTAAACAGACTTGAATATAACAATGCATGGTATTTGAATTCTTTGAGGAATGAATGAATGAATTGATTTAATCTTTATTTTGTTCTAAGCAATTAAGATTAAATGTGTAGCATGAATTATATATGGAGAATGCTTACTTGGTTGTAAAATAAATATCAACATATTTAAGATTCAGTTTGTGTAGGATACAAGATGTATGAAACTAAAAGAATCTTATAAGTTATTCCTATTTTGTGATAGCATGATATTCTATTATTATGTTAGTTTTTGAATTAATTGATGTATTATTTTATTTGTTACATCGATTATTGGATTGTGTGGATGTAGTGCACCAGTATGGGATTGTGGCACTCTAAAGACGGATTAACTTATCAGTTAAGTCCAACTTATTTTGCATAAGGAAATGGATTAACTAAAATGTTAAGTCCTACTTATATTCAAGTCAAGCTAGCTGAACAAGTTAAATGACTTATAAAGGATTAATTTGAACTGGTTAGGATGGTTACTGAATTTTATATATATAATTATGGTGCCATGCTATGAGCTTGAGTCTCAGGATCAATGGTTAAGACGCATATATCGCTAGGGATGTGTAGCTAGATATAGTGTAGTTGTATGTCTTGGTAGGTCTAGGTACTCATGCCCACTATATGTATATTTTGCATGTTGCCTACTATTCAGGTTGAGACAACCCTATAATCTAGTAAAGTTTCTTTAGTGTGTAGTTATATATATACGGGCAACTAGTTATTGTTGGATTAACTAGGATATATACGTGTATCGGATCTCTACTTGGACTGTAGTAAAGTATAACTTGTTTGTAAGCCTGACCCACCATTATTTTTCAAGTGTTCTCCAGGTGTAGAGAATTGTTCATGCTGAGCAGGAATCGGTGTACTTCACTCATCCGAGTCTGCTTTAGGGATTCATTTATGTTTCATCTTTTGGATGTAGACAGTCATTATAGTTACTTATACAATTGTAATTTTCTAGGGGTCCACACAGTATGGATTCCCGAGTTGTATATTGGAAGATTTGTGGTATCAGAATATTTTATTATTTAATGAAAATTTATTCTGAGGATTTATTGGATTATCATTTTAGTGTTCATTTCAACATTTTTATTTATTCTTATTTATCCTCTTGTATTCTGTGTTCGTTTATTGCCGATTTGTTTTTGATATACCAGGTTATTCAGGCGTAGGCCAGGCCAAGCAGCATTCAGAAATCTAGGGGTATCACAGTTGATATCAGAGCACTCAAGGTTCAAGTGTCCTTAGGAGTGTTTTTGTTATATGACTTCCGCGTTGCGTCTCTTAAAACTTTGAGCCCATGTTAGGATTCGTTGTACTCTATTTACGGTTCGTTAGGAGGAGTTAATGTCAATTATATTCTGTAGTTACAGAATGGTTGACATTAGGAAAAGGATGGGGTACAAGGCGAAAGCAATAAAGACCCAAAGAAGAAAAGGAGTACGTTATCGATTTCTTCGCCAAAAAGGCAAAATTCAGGATCGAAGGTTTAGTTTTGGATGGCGCTACTTTAAAGTATAAGCCAAGAAAGGATTGAAATGTTTGTGATAGGTCACTGCATCATGGGGCCTACGCAACTTCAGTTAATCTCAAAAAGGACACAAACGAGAAGTAGGAGGCCAAAGAAGATCCTAATGGAGGAGATTTCAGCGTATCCAAGAAAGCGGGTACTAAATCTTGATGATGGATAATCGCACGAGGTTATTTGCTGGTAGTATAGCGAATGATATTAGTAGAATTGGGATTAATCAATCTACAAATAGTTAAATTTTCTTATCATCTCTAAAAGAGATATATAAGAAGTACTCTTCAGGAGGTTGGGGATTTGATGGAGTACTTATAAGAATGAAACATATGATTTGGTATCACGTTTAGAAGAGTATGTGGATTATGTTGTGACATTCTAATTCGTTTTATAAAACCAAGTTAGATAGTTTACAATCCGTGTATAGGGAGGAAGAGGGTTAGGCCCTTAGTATTTGCTTAGGCAAACATATGTTGCTTTTAAGCTATGTTTAAAGGATATGTTTCGAGGTTGGATTATTATCTACGAAACTATAAAAGGAAATTGTGAAATAATCTGGTAAGGTTGATTTCAAATGAGACTTTTTTTTTTCTAGAAAGAACGATGTCTTAAGTAGGAGTATATGTTGTGCTATTGTGTTTGTCATACGTGTTTTATTTTTGTTGATTATTTTGGTTCATGGTATGTGGTTTAGTTGGGGATACAAGTATGTGATCAGCCAACTATTGTTTTTAACAACATTGAGTAATAACACTATTTACGCTAAATTTGTGAGCATGCGGTCGTAGGATTTGGTAGATACACATAAATCTAGCCAATCTATTAGACCTAAACATGCGCTATTATGGTATGTTATTTGGGATGGGATAGTTAAACCATCACTACGAGTCAAATAATCTAATACGATTAGTTTGATATTTGACGCTATGTATGGATTCGTATCATAGTACAACACCATTATAATGGTGGTTGTTAATATTTCGGTATGCATGAGGTGGTGGTAAAGAAAGGTCACTGTAATGCCACGATGAGTTATCAAAGATGCTGGATTTGCTGAACATCTTCTTGGAAATTCCAGTAGTTGTTACCAAGTCAGAAGGAGAATTTAGTACTGGTTTAGGTACTGGTTAGAATGACATCAAAATGAGGATAGTAGGCTGAATAAATCTTCATCAATCTATTCTTAATCGAGAATTTATTCCTGAGGGTGTCAATAGGAGGAGTTGTCGGTGTTACATATGGAGGAAGGAACTAAGTCTCTTCATTTGCATAAATAATTTGGAATTTTTTTTTAGGTCACAATTTGTAACAATTAGCTGTTGCTAGGAAATTGCAGACTTATTTGGAGGATAGAGAGATTTCATATTCTTTTGAAGTTAGACAAAGATGTCGGATTGACACTAACTTGTCTTAAAGAAATAGGGTG